GGGGGGGGGGAAGGGGTTTGATAAGAAGGTAAACATCAAAAATCTACCCCTCTTCCCAATGGGCTGTACCAATGCAGAGATGCTCATAAGGGGATTTGGCTACCGTCTGAACTGCAGGGGTGTGGCCAAATTTGGGTACACCCTCCTATCCCCTCCTGGATTGTACCAATGCAGGTGCCCCGGAGGGGTGCGTAGGGGTGTGGTCTATCTAGGTGCTTGTATCACTGCACACGGGGTATGGGGCCACACATAAACCCCAATGCCGCCCCCCCCTGCTGGATCATACCAATGCAGGTGCCCCTTGGGGTGGGGCCTGTGGCATGGAGGCAGGGCCAATCTAAGCCCCACCCTCTCATCCTGCCACACAGTATCGATGCAGAGGCAAGGGGATGGGGGGCCAGGGCAGGGCTGCCCAATAGACTCCTGCATCCGCCCCTCCTCCTTTATACTGGGCCGTACCAAAACACAGGCACCTGAGAAGCACAGATCACAGTAATGGTTCAGCCCCACCCTCATGGACTGTACCAATCTGGGGGAGGTGAAGAATAGGGGTGCAGCTAATCCTGGACCCATCCCTCATCCTGCTGGACTGTACCAAAATGGAGTGGGGGACAGCTACAAAACTTTCTTGTGAGTAATCCCTAGCCCCTCACCCTGCTGAATTGTACCAACACGGAATGGCAGGAGCCCATAGTGGGGTTGTGGCTTATCTCAGGCCTGCCCTTCACCCAGATGGATCATACCAACATGTAATGGGGGAGAGCTGCAGATTCGGGGTGTGGCTAATCTCAGACCCACCCTTAACCTACTGGACCATACCAACATGGAATGAGGGGGGGAGTCACAGAGCAAGGGTATGGCTAATCTCAGGCCTGCCCTTTACCCTGCTGGGTCGTACCAACATGTAATGTGGGGAGCTGAAGACTGGGGGTGTAGCTAGTCTCAGGATCGCCCCTTCAACCTGCTGGGTCATACCAAGAGAGCAGTGTGTGTGTGTGGGGGGGGCACAAGGCAGGGGGCTAGCTGGCCCCTTAGGACAGGTCCCTGTCCCCCAGTGACCCATACATGTAGGCATCCTTGCCGGGCTCCTGTACAAACTCCTCCTTGCGGTCCCAGTCAGCGGTCCAGCCCCCGTTGGCGAAGCTGGTGCTCTGGGTGGCCCCATAGCCACCCACACTGCCACCGCTGCCCCCCAGGCCCTCAGCCACCCGCGCTGCCTCATCCTCCTCATCGGCCAACTCGTCCTGGTGGATGAAACCGCACTTTTCATCGCTCATCTCCTCTGGCTCAGCCCATGGCTGCTTCTCCCCTGAAGCAAAGATGCCGTAGAAGATGACTCCCCCGTAATGCACCAGCGAGGCGATGAGGAACACGTACTGCCACTCCTCACGCGTCTGGAGCAGGGGATGGGGCAGGAAGGAAAGAGTTACTCCTCTGTGCCCCCGCCTCCAGTCCTGCCAGTGCCCCTCACTCCCAACCTGCAGGCCCCCCCCAGCCCTGCTGGTGCCCCTCACTCCTGACATAGCCCCCTCCTTAGGGTCCCCCCTCCCAGTTGTACCAGTTCGCCCCCCAGCTCCCACACACACACACACCTTGTGTTTGGTCATGGCACCAACAATGATGGGGCACACCATGCCCGAGAGGGTGCCAACGCCATTAGAGATGCCCATGAGGATGCTGGCATAGCGGGGGGCAATGTCTAGGTGGTTCACATTGAACCCTGCAGGGGCAGAGGGGAACTGAATGCAGAGAACAGCCCCCCCAGCTCATCCCATGCCTGCCCCATGGTGCCACCTGTCCCACACCCTTCAGCATAGCATCCCTGTTCTGATCTCCAGCTGACCTGAAATGGCAAAGCCGCTGAACCCCACGGCCAGGACCAAGAAGGAGATGGCCACGCCCTTGGTGTGAGAATAGCCCACCACAAGCAGTAGCGTCGCCTCCATGCCAAAGCCTGGGGGCAGAGAAAGAATTTTGTTCAACTCCACCCCACTGCCCACCCTGACTGTGCCCCTCACTCCCAACTCGCAGCCCCCTGCCCCACCCCACCCTGCCAGTGCCCCTCACTCCTGACCTGTAGCCCTCTGCCCCTCCCAGCCCTGCCGGTGCCCCTCACAACCGACCTGTAGCCTCCTGTCCTCCCCCAACACACACACTCACCCCCACAATTCATCATCTTGCGGACATTGGTGGTGGACATGATCCTCCGTGAGCGCAGAAAGTCAGCGATCTGCCCCCCGATGGGGACAATAATGGTCATGACCAGGTGGGGGAGGGCTGAGAGCAGGCCCACCTAGGGGCAGAGGGTACAGGTAGCGGCTCTGCAAGCCATGGGAGCTCCCCTCCTAGCCTCTCATCAGTCCCTTCACATTTCCCACTGTCCTCACAGTGTCAGGGTCTCAGCCCGCCTCTCCCCGTGCTAAACCCTCCATAAGCAGAGGTGGGATATGAACCCACAACATCCTGGGGTGAGTGGGGTCAAGAGGTTGGGAGTCCAGATCTGACCAAATGAAGGGATGCCTGGGTTCTCCCCCCAGCTCTGGAGGGGCAGTAGGGTCTGGTAGGCTACAGCTGCAGGACTGGGAGCCCAGATGCCTGGGTTCTCTCCAAGTTTTGGGAGGGAAGTGAAGCCTGGCAGGCTTGACACTCCAGGGCTCTGACTCCTGTACCCTTCACCACTCTCAGGTTCCCAATCCCAGGGGGAGGGAGCAGAGGGCTGAGCCCAGGGGTGTCTGGACCGGTACCTTGCTGATCTCAAAGCCGAAGACCTCCTCAAAGTAGGCTGGCTGGCTGATGAGCAGCAGGTAGAAGGTCCAGCTGCGGCAGAAGTTGGCCACGATGATGGCGTAGACAGGCATGGATGTGAAGAACTTGCGCCAGGGTGTGCTAAATTTCTGTCAGCAAGGATGGAGGGGTGGGGAGTGAGCTCCTGGCACTGTGAGCTTCCCCTCCAAACAGTGCCCCCAGGCATGGCACCCCCAGTGCTGCAAGCTTCCCCCCAGCAGTGCCTCCAGCTAAAGTCTCCCCTGGTGCTGCAAGCTCCCCTGTAACAGTGCCCCCACCTGGACTCTCCCAGTGCTGCAAGCTTTCCCCAGACTACCCTCAGCTGGAGACACCCTTTTTTAATAAAATAAAATAAAATAAAAATAATAATATATATATCAGCTAGCAAAAACTTTCCATCACACACCTTAAAGTACATTAAAGAAACCATGCACCCGTTATGGAGACACCCACTGGGATGTGAGCTGCCCCCAGCTGAATTTGCCCCCAGTGCTGTGAGCTTCTCTTTAACAGTTCCCCCACCCACCAACTCGCCCTAGGCTGTGGGCTTCCTCCAAACAGTGTCCCCTGCCAGGGACAGTCCCCACACACAGTGCAGCAAGCTTCCCTCAGCAGTGCCCCCAAGCAGCAGGCGGGGGGGGTCACCTTGAGGGGGTTGACAAGGCCAGCGCTCTCTCCGATACTCTCCTCGATGTAGCGCTGCTCCTCCTCCGTGATGGTGGGGTGCTGGGCTGGGCTCTCATATGACACCATCAACCAGAACAGGTACCATAAAATCCCAAAGCTCCCTAAGGGAATGGATCAGAGCAGGGGAGGGGGTGTCATCACTGGGGAACAGCCATCATGGTAGAAGGCCCCTGTGGGCATGGCAGGGGGAGAGGGACCAGGCTGGACAGGGCTGATGCAGGGACCAGGAAATGGGGCTAGGGCTATGGGGGTGTGATTCTCTTACCATACACATAGAAGACAGAGCTCCACCCTGAGTATTGTACCAAGACCCCGGCCAGGGGCATGGCCACCACTGCGCCTGCATAGGAGCCTGTGAGGGGTGGGGGTTAACAAGACTAGAGATCTGGAGCACAAACATGCCGAACCCCATTCATTGCCCAGAGCTGGGAGAGAACCCAGGCATCCGGGGCTCCCAGCTACTCCCCTGCTCTAACCCACCAGACCCCACACCCTTCCCAGAGCTGGGGGAGAACCCAGAAGACCTGAATCCCAGTGCCCACCAACTTCTAACCACCAAATACCCCGCCTTCTTCCTCTCCCAGGACACAGAGAGAACCCAAGCATCCAGGCACCCAGCCCTCCCTGCTCTAACCCCCCTCTCCCTTCTCAGAGCTGGGAGAGAACCCAGGCATCCTGGCTTCAACCCCCCACCACGTTCTACCCACCCACCAGACCCTCTCCCTGCTCCTCTCCCAGCACAGAGAAAGATCCCAGGTGTCCGGGATCCCCCCTGCTCCAACCCACCAGGTCCCACTCCCCTCCCAGAGCTGGGAGAGAGCCCAGGTGTCCAGGCTCCAACCCCCAGACTCAGTAGAGAGAACCCAGGCATCCAGGCGGGGGCACTTACCGCAGAAGGCAGTGGTGGCGAGGCGGCTGCGCTCCAGCGGGGGTGCCCACTTACTCCAGATCCCATGGCAGGCCGGATATGTCACCCCCTGAGGCCCCAGCCAGACAGAGGGACAGATAGTCACCCAGGGCCCAGCCTACGTGCAGGGGCGTGGCCGAGAACAAACCCCGCCCCTTTGGGGGACCCCAGAACACCAGTCCATTGGCGTGGGGGCGTGGCCATGAGTATTGCCCGCCCCTTTCTTAAAAGAGGGTGTGGCTTATCGGGAAGCCCTACCCCCGGGCTCCCAATAGGGAAAGGGCGTGACCACGGCACCAAGCCTCACCCCTTCTAGCCCCCTATAGGGGCGTGGTCACGCTCTTGGGGAATGCCCCTTCCATCCCCTAGGAGGGGAGGGGGAGGGGCCAATATACTAGACTCCGCCCACTGCCCCAGCCAGGCCTTTCCACTGACTACCTTGCCCGCCCCCAAGACCAGGGGAGGGGCCTGGCCACCATCAAGCCCCGCCCCCAGCCTCCTGCAGTGTCCCCCTCCTGGTGGGGGCGTGCCAGGCCAGGAGGCTCCGACCCCAGCTCACCTCCACCAGCCCCTGCAGGATGCGCACGAAGATGACGCAGCCGTAGTGCATGCGGGCAGCCGAGGGGATTAGCATGTTCAGGGTCGAGGTGGCCACGATGGCAAAGCCGAAGACCCTGGGAGGGGAGGCGACGGTCCGATTGGGGGGGGCTCCACATCCCTGCCCTTGACCCGTGCAGTGCTGGCCACGGAGGTCACAAGGCCACAATTGTGCATTTTGTCATCACAAGATTGTGCATGCAGGGCACGAGGACCGCTCTGCCTGGGGCAGTGCTTGTATCCCGGCTTGGCCGTCACCCATGCAATCACAAGTGCGCTCTCGTGCACTTACAGCACCTCCCCAGGCCCAGCATTACGGGGCCAGCCCTGGCACAGGTGGGCAGCCCTAGTGCATTGCAAGCTCACTTGAGCAATGACAAATGTACTGTTGAGGCCTTATGACATCCCCTGTCTGGTGCCTAGACCTATGAGGTCAATGTTGTTGTGGGTGGACAGACATTGTGCAATCACAGATGCACTCTTGTAGCATTATGACATGCCCTGGACACAACATTATGGGGCTAGAGCTGTGGTGACCCTTGGGTGTCACATGCTCACTCATGCAATCACAAATGCACCATTATGGCCTTTTGACACCCCACACCCCTGGCCCCAATATTATGGGGCAATACTATGACAGTGGGTGGCCCTTGTATCACACACACTCCTGTGATCATAAGTGCACGCTTGTGGCCTTCTGACACCGCCTGAACCTAGCGTTATAGAGGCCAGAACTATAGCTTCGCACACACACGAGCAATTACAAATGCACTATTGTGGCTTTATGACACCCCCTGGGCCCAGTATTATGGTGCCAATCCTGTTGTGCATGGGCAGTCCTTTTGCATCACACACTCACTTGTGCAAACACAAATGCACCATTGCGACCTCATGACAACCCCCAGTTTGACACCTGTATCTCACTGCCACAGACACCCCTGCCGCATCCCCACTGCCCACCCTGACTGGGATGGAGGGTGTTGTGTGGATCGCACAGGGTTCAGTGCCCAGATGCAGCTGCTTCTGGGGTGGGGCATGTCAGGGGGGCTCTTTGGAACACAGCAAAGCAACACAGGGGAGCAATGGGACAGGAAATACAGCATTGTCCTGTGATGTATGGAGGCAGGTGGGGATTAACCCATTTGGAACCAGGCCAGGGCACCAGGGTTCACATCCCGATGGAGAGAGAAGGCGTTTAAGGACCAGAAGATTTTATATCACACACCCCCTGCCCACCCCCACTTCCCTCGGACTCAGCAGAGAGGCTCAGCCCAACCTGTTGGCAGCGAATTTCTGGGCGATGAACCCGCCAGGGATCTGGGTGACGATGTAGCCCCAGAAGAAGGAGCCGTGAATCATCCCCACGGTTTCGGGGTCCCAGGTGAACTGGGCTTTCTGGGAAGGAGAAGGAATAAAAGGAAAGGCCTCTGGCCTCAGCCCCAAACCCACCCCTCTGCCCTGAGGCTGGATGAGAACTGGCACCTGCTAGAAGAAAAAGGCCATGCCCGCCCCCTGCCCCTGCTAGCAACCCCTGGATCCTGGGTCAAATACCCCTGGAGGGGAAAGGTGCCATCCCCACCATCTGCCTATGTCAGCACCCTGCTCTGAGGCTGGATTAGGCCCAGCCCCGCTGCTGCACCTCCACCCGTCTCAGCCAGTACCCCAGGTTCAATGCTCCCCGAGGCAACGCCAGGCGCACCTGGACCACCAGCTTGCCACCACGGTGGACGGTGCTGTTGTTGACCATGCTGACGATGGCCACACCCAGGTTGCAACGGATGCCAAAGCTGATGCAAAAGCCGAGGCCACAGAGGATGGCGATGATGTAGCGGCGTGGGAGGCCACAGCACGTACAGTCCACAACTGGGCGGTGCTTCTCAGCCACTTCCACTGCCCGGCCCTCTGCTGTCAGCTCGATTGTCTCCCTACCTGGCTGCCGGCGCTCCAGAAGCCTGCAGGGGTGATGCATGGGTGGGCAGACAGACAGATGGACAGTCAGGGTGTATGGGGGTCACAGACAAGCAGGCAGATGAGGTACATAGGGATGAAGAGACAGACAGATGGAGGAAGGATGGATTGGAAAGGTGGGTGGGCAGATAGAGGGACAGAGAGGGGTTTGTAAGATGGATGGATAGATGGACAAACAGTGTGGAGTACATGGATGGATGGATAGAGGAACATATGAGAAGGGTGGATGGATGGATGGATGAATGGGACCACATAGATGGAGGGATGGATAGACAGTGCAATATAGGGGATGGGTGGATGGATGGAGGGATACAGGAGAGCAATGGATAGATGGATGGGCAGTGCGTGCATGGGAAGACAGACGCACAGGCAGAGAAAATGAGAGATCAGTCTGGGGACATTTTCACAGAGGGAAGATTTTCGTTGTTTACCCTTTCATGCCTCCAGCAGTGCCTTTGAGGGTAGCAGGGTTGCACCCCCCAAAACTCCCCCACCCTTCTCTGTCCCCCTCCCCCAGCTCCACTGGGGCTGGCTGTGGTGCTACCTCACCCTACATCCCCTGAGACCCACACTGGCAGGCCTTCAGGCCAGGGACAGGCCCAGGCCTGAAACACAGGGCATGGAGCTATTTGCTTCAGTTGGGACAGAACCCTTGATCCCAACATGGCCCAGTGTCCCACAGACTGGAACCAATGACTCGCAGCAAAGCCCAGCAGCTTGGGTCAAAGCCAGCGGCTCTGGTACTTGTTCCTGTTCAACCAGATGCCCCCTGCATCAGCACCAAGGGTTCTGGTCATCTCCCCCCACCCAGACTTCCCACATCAGGGGCTGGTGTCTCCTGTTCTCCTGGATTCCCCTTTTCCACCCCCTACCTGCTTCCCTAAACTGGGCCCTGTTTTTTCCCTTCATGGGGTCAGAAACCCAATGACCCCCCCCCCCCCCCCCCCCGAATCTGGCAGCGACACTGGCATCAATGCTGAAAGCCAGGGAATCTCCCCCACCAATTCGGCCCAACCCCTGCCCTGTTGCCCATAATGAAGTGCCCCCCAATCCCCACAGCACAGCACAGCACAGCACCCCTAGTGCCCCCTAGTCCCTCCACTGCTTTCAACAGCAGGCAACCCACTCCATCGGACTTTCCCCCCACCTCCCCCCAATAAAATGGTATCCCTGTCCCACCCTGCCCTGCTCCTGTGCCAGCATTGACCTTGCTTAGCACTTGCTGAGCTGAGCGGATCCCAGCATGAGGCGGCTGCGCTAGCAGATTACGCTGGTTTTAAATATCCCTGGCTAAGCTCCCCCCGCAGCTTAGCTGCCAGGGGCTCCATTGACCTTGGTCGGCACATAAATCTTAGCTGACTTTGGCCCTGGCCCACTTCTCCCCCTGGCTTCCCTGGACTTGGATTCGTTTGGCTCTGCGGTGGGGTGGGGCATGCCAGGGTGGTGGGGGGCTGGTGCTTCTGGGTGGAGAAGGCTGGAGCAGAGCCCAAGGCCAGTCCCAGCCTAGAAGCCTCCTGCCCCTCCTGGATGCCCCCAGAGCAGGGGTGAGGGGCTGGGTGAACTCCCCACCCCCGTCTGTATGTCCCCATGCCTTTGTGGGGACAGAGGGCAGGGCAAATCACCATTCCCACTCTGGTCTCAATGCCTCTAAGTAATGCCCAAATAGATGGCAGTTCAGCTTCCATCCCCTTGTCTGCCCATCCATCCACCTATCTGTCTGTCCGTCCCCAAGCCCAGCAGGCCCTCCACACCTCCATCCAACCCCATGTACTACCAGCCATCTACCAGCTCCCCTCCATCCCTAAAGGATGGACTCCCTCCTGCCACCAGTCCATCCCCATATGCTGCTGCCCATCTGGCTGTCCATCTACCCATCCATCCAGTGCCACAGAGCCCTCAGCTCTCTGTTAGAAGCAATTCTACCCTCTGCCCTGTGTGCACGGGTGTGTGTCTGGAGGAGGGGGCATGATTTTGTGGGTATCCACATGCGCATGTTTACAGGTGATTGTGTCTGTGCAATCTTGTGTGGGTGACTCTGTGTGTGTGTGTGTCTATGGGTGATTCTGTGTGTGCCTGATTGTGCATGTAGCCACATGTGATTGCTTACGTGTGATTATGTGTGCATGTCTATGGGTGAACATGTATGATTTTGTGTGTCTACATGTGATTGTGTGTATGCGACTGGGTGGATGCAATTACGTGTGATTGTATCTGTGTCTACGTGTGGGTGCATAGGTATGTGTGCACGTGTGTGCGCGTGCACGTGTGGAGGTTGGGGGGGGCTGGCTCTGCTATCAGTGCTGTTTGGCACTAGTTTAGCAGGACCATATGGAGCAGCAGGAAGGGATCGGGGCTGGGCCCCAGGCCAGGCTGCATCATCATCAGCTGGTAACTAAGGCCCAGCACAGTGGAGCTGAGAACCACACATGCACAGACACGCACAGTTCCTCCTGCGCACAAGCTGTCCCTGCTGGCTGCAGCTCACCAACACACACAGTCACTCCTTACAAAGAGGGAGTCAGACCGTCTCTGTTGCTGGAGAGGTGCGGGGAGGGTTGCGAGTGTGATTGTCCAGCTGTGCATTTGTGAATGTGTGCATGTGTGGGAGGGGTGGGGCTCTATCTGTTCTCTGGGAGGGTTACATGTGTGTGTCACTGATCTCTCTGTGCCTGGGGAAGGTGTGGGATTGTGTGTGCGTATCAGATTGTGTGTTGGCAAATGTGCAAATGTGATGCAGGTATCTGGAGCATGTGATTGCCTGTGTGTATGCAATTGGTTTGATGGTAGGAGCAGCGGGATCTGAACCCATGTTCCCTCCCCAGACCAGGCCTGGCTCCCCCTCCCTCCAGCTGGTCTCTCTCACCCTACACCACTCCTGCCCAAGAGTTTAGTGGCTGAAGATAAGGTCTCCACTTAGCACTGCCCATAGCCAGAGGTCAGGGGCTTCACTGGGGATGGCAGCGTGGCTCACATCCCCTCAAGCCAAGTGGGGCCTGGATTCCCTCTCTGAAATTTGTTCCCTTTCTTCTCTCCCCTCGAGAACTCCCCTCCCAGGTCAGGAAGGGAGGACATCCCTATAGAGCAGTGTTTATCAACCTACAGGCCGTGACCCAAAAGTGGGTTGCAAGAATATCCTGGGGGGGCCATCTCCAGTGGTGTCCCCCAGGGATCAGTGCTTGGGCCCATCCTCTAACATCTTTATCAATGACCTGGATGAGGGAGTGGAAAGCGCAATGTTTAAGTTTGCAGATGACAGCAAGCTATGAGGAAATGCAGGCACATTTGAGGACAGGGCAAGGATTCAAGATGACCTTGACAGGCTGCTCCTATGGGCTGATTGTATTCAGATGAGGTTCAATAGGGATGAGTGCTAGGTCCTTCATCTGGGTAGGAAGAACCTTCACCACACCTATATGATGGGTGGTGGTCCACTGGCTGACACCACATCTGAAAGGGGCCTGGGGGGTGACAATCAACCAAAGGATGAATATGAGCCAACAGTGCGATGAAGTCGCCAGCAGGGCAGATAGAACTCTGGTGTACATTAGCCAATGTGTTGCCAATAGATCTAGAAAGGTGCACTCTACTCAACATTGGTAAGACCACAGCTGGAGTATTGTGTCCAGTTCTGGGCACCATACTTCAAAAAGGACATGGATAAGCTTGAGGGGGTACAGAGAAGGGCCACCTGCATGGTCAAGGGCTTGGGGGATAGGCCATATGAAGAGAGACTCCAGGAATTGGATTTGTTCAACCTGAGTAAGAGAAGACTGAGAGGTGACCTGATAGCCTCCTACAAGTATATCAGGGGCAAACACCAAGATCTCGGGGAGAAACTCTTCAGAAAGGCACCCCTTGGGAGGATGAGGTCCAATGGACACAAGCTAGTTGGGGAAAAATTTAGGCTGGACATAAGGAAAAACTTTTTTTCTGTAAGGTTATCTAGAATCTGGAACGCATTCCTAGCAGAGGTGGTGTAGTCGCCATCCCTGGAGGTGTTCAAGAGGAGGCTGGACAGGCACCTCACTGAGTTTGTTTGAGCCCAATCACCTCCTGCCCATGGCAGGGGACCAGACTCAATGATCTTATAGGTCCTTTCCGGTCCTTCTATTCTATGATTCTAATATATAAAAGGGTCATGAACAAACTCTAAAAATGGATCAACAAACTTTAAAAATAGATTCTCCTTTAAAGGAGAAAAACACGGGAAATCATGGCTTTTCCCTTGCAGGCTGGCAGAGTTCCAGCCTGCAAGGGGCTGCTTTGGGTCTGCCCCCGCCCCACACACCCACCCTCCCCTGCCCCATACATCACCCCCTGCCTCACACACAGAGCCATCCCTAGTGGTGTGCAGGGCCCAGGGCATATCAGCCTGTGCGGGGCCCGGGGAGGGGGCGGG